TACTTGATGCATTGTTTAGACGGGGCGAGAAACCATTAACTATTATTACCTGCCCATTAATTACATTTATTCTTCAAGCACAATTCTCATTCCAATCAGGCAGCCATACATACCGGGGGCATCAGGTTGAAGATTCGTCCCCTTCAGAACTGACTAACGATATCGACCAACAACTCATTCAGTCAGGATACCAGAGATGAACATAATCACAGAATTAGTTTAGCTTAATCAACATTTACAGCGTCAGTAATGGAGACGGAATCATTGTCCAGTTAACTTACTTTACTTTACTATGGTTGACTCATTCAGAATAACGAGCCAATTCCATGATCATGGGAGTTTGGTACAAGAGATCCCCGACATCAATGGACTTTCTATTTTTAGAGTGTACTTCTATGCTTTGAACCATCACTTGAGAACTGCATAATTGCCAGTCGTTCACTAGGAGTTCATTCACCATTCGACTTGTGTAGATTCGGCCCAGAGATCCATGCATCTCTACTGGTCTGATTTCCTTTATGGCTGTTGGATTAGGCGGTGGATCTCCACTGCCCAGTCAAGATTAACTGTCTTCACACGACGTACACTATTCTAGGCCTTGGTTTCCCTTGACCTACTTTAGCTCACCTATTCAGTAGTTTTCCGGGGTGACGTACGCCTCAGCTTCTTTGAGACACAGATAGGGGCGGGGTAAATGATGGGGACCCAATAAGTTGAGTATGTTGCAAAGAAACTACAGTTAATTAAATTTGCTCGACTTGATTTTTCCAATTCACGATTTGACTAACAGTTAATCAAGAGAAATAGAACCGAGATAAAGTTTAACGCCGCAAAAGTTGGAATGGGTGATCTCCTTTTTGGTCTTAGTGACTTTGGAACAAATGACCGAGTTGAGGACTGTTCACAGTTCCGAAATAATTAACTATCTGGAGTACACAGAGACTGGAAAACGAATGTATTCCAGGTAAGTTTGGATCGTGCTAGACCGAACTAAGCGACGTTGAGAACTCATGACAATTAACAACAGTTATTGCTGTATTTCAGAATACAATACTTTGAAATGCGCAAGGCTCTACTCTGCTCCTCTTTTTTACGTATACCAGAAACCTGTGAATTCTGGATGTCTTGAATACTTCGAATTTCTAGCCAGTCTACTGAAACAGTTTTTAAGTACTGAGCAATCTGAGCACTCGCTCTGTGATTGATTCGTCAGACTTGCGTAAGTTCGCGAACACTGACAGACTGTGTCCTCTATACGCACACGTCACGTATATGTGGTGCCCATTGAGATTTATCGGTGCACAAATGGTGTACATAAACTTGAACTGGCATTTGAAAAATATCGGAGATAATGAAGGGGTCAGGAAACAATTTGTGATTGCCTTAGATGCAGCTAACCTTACGATTTTCGAAAAGAACCATTCACTTTGACAATAGGACATTGAGAAAAGCAGTGATAAAAAATAATCAATACCTGTCAGTGACACATAAAACAGGAACATGAGAAGCATCCAAATAAAATGCAATATGCAAACCAATCCGGAACTCATTGTCTACATATAACAAACAACATAGATCCATTCTCAAGAGGAAAAAAATCGAGAAATTCAACACAGCTACGTAAGATCAAAGCTGAACTGATATAAGAGTGATCTACCAATGCCATGATTTTTAAGCACGATTGTAGCATAGCCCAGCACATATGAATATGAATGCATAATGGTTTAGTCCTGGTTAGGACCGATAATTTACAGGGATTATGCAACAAATTACAGCTGAAAATTCGTGCAGTGTCAGGAACGAGTCGTCTGAACATATCAATTTGAAAATGAACTCGAATACACGGTTCGAATTTCATGGGTCTCCAGCTCCCTCTGCCCTATCTGATCTGATACACTACAAAAATTGCACAGCCGCATGTTACGCAAGATCACGAGGATTGTCTTACCGACTCGTTGAATGTGCTCGATTGCTGCGCGACATGGTTCGCTCATTTCCGGGTGGTTTTTATGTCGAATCAGGCAGTCCAAAATTTTACTGGGATTGGAAAAACCAGTACAAAAGCGCTGTTCAGCAACCAGACAGGCTTGACTGACAAGTTTGTCCAAATTCGGATCGTCCTCGACCTCAGCACTGACTGTAACCACGGCAGCACGACATTCTGGCTGAAAAAGCCCCACCGAGCACAAAAGAAACAGATTGCGAATAATGAAACAAGCAAGAAGGTCGATGAACGCTGAAAGAGGACGAAGGCGAATATAAAAACGATAGTTATACCAAAAAGCTTGTGAATCAATTACGCCCAAGTTGAAATTGACAGTCTATATAAAATAGCCGACAGAAATAGGAATATTGGAAACATCCTTTCCCTTTGATCCATTTGAATGAAACAGGTAACACAATATGAGCAGAATTGATATTGATCATCAATTTCGTGTGCTTTCAATCAGCTGTCTACGCACATTAAGTAGATCGGAATGTTTTAAGAAGAATATCAAATATAAGGACATTTACATAGTCACATGGGTTCAGGCGGAAAGAACTGGGTTGTTTAGTCATTACCAAGTTATTTGGGTATGAGCGAAACGAGGAGGAGGGGATAGTGATTACAAAGATTCAGAAAAACGGAATGATAGCATAGAAACAGTTGTATAATAGAAAACGATGAACCGTGGAGGAAAGAGAGTTGAAAATGGTTACGTAACACAAAACAGATACAACCAGGAATGGATTAGAAAGAAACGTAAAAAAGGTAACGGAGAGGAAAATTGGTCAATTAAGTGGGTTACAAAGAGTTACGTAATATGGAAATGAGAAGGATGAAGTGTGAATGATGAGGTAAGGAAATCTTTGTAAACATTATCCCCTCCTCCTCGTTTCGCTCATACCCAAATAACTTGGTAATGACTAAACAACCCAGTTCTTTCCGCCTGAACCCATGTGACTGTAAATGTCCTTATATTTGGTATTCTTCTTAAAATATTCCGATCTATTTAATGTGCGTAGACAGCTGATTGAAAGCACGCGAAATTGATGATCAATATCAATTCTGCTCATATTATGTTACTCGTTTTATACAAAAGAAATAGAAATGCCAAGTAAAGTTCGTCTATTTTGGATAGTTTGTAGATAATTTTATCTGATTTTTAGTCTCTTCTTCGTCTATTAAACTGGAGTATTTAAAGGAACAGAGAAGTTCTAGTTCCATGGTGTTTGATACCTACGAGTCAGTGCTGTAGTAACTTGTGAAGGTATTTGTCTGTGTTTTAGTCAAATACACCGTTCACCAACAAACGGTTTCTTCCCTAATAAACTATAATACTATAGCTCTATATCGTCAGTTCGAAATACAGTCTTTCCTCGTCACATCGCGTTTTCACTGTACCACAAGTTTTTAATTTAAATGTATTTTAGATCGCGTATCTTTTGCCATATCGCGACAGTTTACTTTGAAAGGGTTTGGGGAGGTTTAGTCCTTAACTATATGATCCATCGAGGACTATCACCCACCGCGGGTCTTGGAACCTGACACCCTGCTACAGTTGAAGGAAGACAGCACTTCGATATCACCATAGCCAGTCATTTTTATGTGATACACTCCACCGTTATATAGACGGACAGTGAGATTTGATATGGTGGTCAAACAGGTGTGTACTTTACAGTTCGCTCTCACGTTTATTTGTTCCTTCGAGTTTAAACGATGTTCAGTGAAGCGATGATTGTTGGGTGGGAAATCTGAATGTGGGAGTCACTGAAGTTAAGTATTACCATTGTTTAAGACGGACAGTGAGCAGATGGATCCATCAGTTTAAAAGTTCACGTGACACTCAGGGAGCACGTACCACACATCAAGGCACAAAGACGCTCTCCTGGTTATCTTGATCACCCGATTTCCGTCCCACGAAGAATTTGTAGGACCATCCAAAGAAAATAATTATCTATATAGTTCAAATGAAACCGCTTGTTTGTACATCAGAATGTCGGTCAAATAAGGTATAGTTGAGTCTGACTAAACGGTTGTACCGAATATCAGGTAAATATGGCTAAACCTTGCCGTTGAATCGAAAAGGCAACTGAATATATCAGGGTGGAGCAGATAGTTGCAGTTACCAAGAATCTTGTGGGCAAATGTATTACAGCCTACAGTAAAGAGTGACGAAACCTATTTGAAATAGAAATCACAGGGGACGGCAAGATAAGATGGAGAAAATGTACAAAAGAACAAACAATTGAATGTTGCATAATGATTATTTTAAGCTTAGAATCTGAAAGAACATTAAATTGGAGAAGAAAATATCACCGTAGTGTTTACCATATTGGCTTCTAGGCACTAAGCAGTGTGTTCTAGTTATGTATACAGAGTTGTGGATATTTTATTAATTTCTATATGGTGCAATAAACAAAGATGCATTCAAGATCTACTGAAGCGTTTCGCCGAACACCAGGCTGATTGGTAAATGTTTGTATTTGTGATAAAATCAGAAAACGACTTCATGTCAAACAGATTAGCGAAATTCTTAATCCTTTAGCAATATATTTACTTATAATAGTTAATAATTTCGACTCCGCTTTTAATTCACATACAACGAAGATACAATCAGTATCCAAAGAGGAGGCTGTGACTGGTTGAAGACCGCCAAATAACGGATGGAAAAGTAGGGCAACGGTGGCTAGATTCGGACACACGAACTATGAGACAATGAGCGAACAGTCTATACCGCCAACCTTTCGCAGGATTCGAATATACCGAATGCACAAATGAGCTTATACTCGAGGTCAGGGGGCCACTACCATGTTGGTCTTGGAATCAGATGAGCAGTATTCCATTTGAGAAAATTATGATTGATTTTACATGCATTACTGTTGCTTATAAAATTTTACAAACTCGTACTGATAGTATTCCACCAGTCTTTCGTATGGCAATTGAGTAATAGTAGTAAAGGCATTGAATTTCATCTGGGTTTTGAGATGAGCAACATGAGGGAAAGTGGCGAAGAGGTTAAACAGACGAAGACAGACAAAAACCGGTGTTAAGTGCCATGCGAGAGTTTGCACAGGTGATGAACCCGAATGGATACAAGATAATAAGATATCACTATTCCGGTTTACGCTGTTGACCTGAATATCCAAACACTATGGTGGAGCTGGTTAGTTGAAAAGAAGCACTTGTTTTGGACGACATGAATAGCGCGGTACCTTGAATACTCAGCAACCGTTGATCATAGCTCCATGAAGAGGTTGCGACTTGAACGATATGTGTGACCGTTAGGGTCAGGTCACTGGAGATGAGTAAGTTGACTGAGCGAAGTGCAAAGAGGGTATTAGCCGAAGCTTTTACTAAAAACGTTTTTTAAAAGAGCGATAGTAGGAGTATGCCAGAGTTGGTCATGACGAGATCGATTTTTTATTTTGATATATTGAGATCAGACTGATTCATGCTTTTGCATATAGACAAACACACACACACGTACATTAAGAACTGCCATCTAGACAAGAAAACAGTTTCATGAACATTTAGGGTTAAAAAACGGGTTTATATCAGAAACAAAAAAATGATGATAACCGTGTTCAAGTTTAAGTGCGATGAACTGAACAGGATCAACGAAGTCATCATAACGACGTCCAAAAGGTCCATCGATTGTTTATCTATCTATATATCTATGCATATTTCTGTCTATCTATGCTATAATATCTATCTATCTATCTATCTATCTATCTATCTATCTATCTATCTATCTATCTATCTATGATCTATATCTATCTCTCTATCTATCTATCTATCTATCTATCTATCTATCTATCTATCTATCCGTTGTCTGTCGTTCCGTCCATTTGGTTGATGATAGTACAATTGGTCTATCAAACCAAAGCATGGAAAAAGGTCATGCGGAAGAATGTGAATTCAGAATAGGGAAGGAGTCGTGAAAAAGAGAGAAAATATATCAGAAGAGCATCAGTTGTAGGGAAGAAAGATGTAAAACATTTGGATACAATAGT